AAGAGCAGGTGCATTTATACGGAGACTTGATCACACACGGGTGCATTCTATTTATCATCATCAGTCATTTAGGACAACATTGGATCATTCAAAGATCCTCACTGAACTTCTGGACTGAGTTTGCTGCACTGAAAGTAAAGGGGCCGAATAATATTGCACGCCCCACTTTTCAGTTTTTTATTTGTTAAAAAAGTTTAAATTATCCAACAAATTTCATTCCACTTCACGATTGTGTCCCACTTGTTGTTGATTCATGACAAAAAATTAAAATGTTATATCTTTATGTTTGAAGCCTGAAATGTGGCAAAATGTTGAAAGGTTCAAGGGGGCCGAATACTTTCGCAAGGCACTGTACATAAACCCAACGTGTTTTGAAATCAAAGGGCTAAATAGATTAAAGGGAATATTTTATAGCAAAAAAATCATAAAAAAACAACCAAAGGGAATATTGAAAAAATAAGCTGTGTTTCATGTGTGGGGGACCAGAATACATAAACCCAAATTGTTTTGAAATCAAAGGGCCTAAAGGGCAAAGGGCTAAATAGATTAAAGGGACTTTTTAATAGCAAAAAAATCATAAAAAATCAACCAAAGAGAATATTGAAAAAAGAGGCTTTGTTTCATGTGTGGGGGACCAGAATACATAAACCCAACGTGTTTTGAAATCAAAGGGCCTAAAGGGCAAAGGGCTAAATAGATTAAAGGGACTTTTTAATAGCAAAAAAATCATAAAAAATCAACCAAAGGGAATATTGAAAAAATAAGCTTTGTTTCATGTGTGGGGGACCAGAATACATAAACCCAACGTGTTTTGAAATCAAAGGGCCTAAAGGGCAAAGGGCTAAATAGATTAAAGGGAATATTTTATAGCAAAAAAATCATAAAAAAACAACCAAAGGGAATATTGAAAAAATAAGCTGTGTTTCATGTGTGGGGGACCAGAATACATAAACCCAAATTGTTTTGAAATCAAAGGGCCTAAAGGGCAAAGGGCTAAATAGATTATTTGAATGTGTTGAATGTGTCGAATATCCATTATAAAACTAACTTTACCGCACTCTGACGGTAAATGTCGACGGTCTTTCAAGTAGCTCTCATGCTCCTGCCAAGAGGGAAATTGCTTGAGCTTGACGGGGATGCGTTTGACACGAAAGCTGTAGGTTCCCTTTCAGCTGAGGACGAGCTGTTTTATTTAAAATTGAGGTCTTTAGAGAAAATCCCCTTACAGCCTGTGTGAATGAAAGCTGCAGTGAGTGGCCCCATGTCCATGAGTCGTGTTTTAGTAGCATCACGCTTCCCAGATAATACCTACTGTACATGTTCAGGTCATAGGGATTTCAGAAAAAAACATTGTCACTAAGTCAACTTGAGCTGAAACCAGTTATGTGCTTATAAAGCCATCTCAAAGTCAGATGTAGGTGAAAAAAGCACCTTTGAGATCAAACTAGTTTAACTGTGAGATCTTTGTAATAGAACTACAGTACCCAGAATGCTTTCAATTGGTTGAGCTTAATGTCCCCCATGTAGAACTCATATTTGTTTGTGGAAAATGTGATAATTGTGTGCAACCATGATGTAAATAATGTTGAAATGTTTCTCTTCACTTTGCCAAGACGCACCCAATGCTTCATAGGCTACAGAGTTTTTCATAATCAGGAGGCATTGTGCACACAGCCTTGTATCTTTTCTTCTACATTATTCCTTCTTTTTTGATAGAAATAAAACTTTTCATGGCCACAATTTACAGATGATTTGATTTTTTTTTTCAGAAAGTCAATGGATTCATTTATTTGCTTCTGGAGCCCAGCAACAGAGCGGGACAATGGCGCTCTTCCTGGTCCAGTTGCTGTAGCCGTGACATGAAAAGTACTGTAGTAAAGTACTGTCATGTCACACCTTGTACATCATTTAGTGTGGAGGCAAATAAGGCACATAAAAAAAATACTATAAGTTATACATAGTCTTTTGATTTAAAGGAGACATATTCAACTTTTTCATGTGCTCCATCATTGACTAAAGATGTATTGTGATTATAGTGCAGCTGCTCTTGATTCTTTAGAGCTCAGAAAAGGGTTTACTTTCACCTACCCCCCATCCCGCCTACTTCTCCATGATGTTATAAAGAATCCTTCCTGTCATACCTACTTTGCATGTCACAAACCGATTATCAACAACAATTATCTAACTTTGGTGCAGGGAAATTTCAGACTTCACTTTGGTTTTTGACACCATCGAACCAGTCAGACTGAGCAGCTCATTCTGCAATGGATTGTGTACTTTTTTTACAATTTTTAAAAAGAAGTTTAAGACCCATCGCACACCAAACGGGTTCCCTCAAGGTTGTGTGCTCAGACCGCTTGATAATATTCAAATCTTGATCAACAACACTTCTGTTTAGCTGTGCGTACAACTGAAGGATTGAATCTTCACTCCTTAATAATGTACTGTGATTATTTATGATTGTAATCCCTGGTGTGGTTGTTTCTATCTTGTTTTGTTAAGCACTTTGAGGTGCCTCGTGCAGGATGTGCTATACAACAAAAATAAACCTGCCTTGCCTGCTTACTTATAACAGGAAAAGGCATCACCAAGTGTCTTTCAAGTGCTAGAAACTATAGAAATATACATGCAAAGGGAAAAACTTTAAAAGATGAAAACTTTTACTCAGTCACGTACCATACCAGACGATGTATTTATAGATACATATTAATATCTTATACTCCAAATCGGGCTCATCATTAGTCTCCCCTGTCCTATCCCACACCTCCACCCCTCTGTCTCCCCATGTCCCCCTCTTATTCCTGTGCTATATTTAGACTCCTGCATTGCAGATGTCCCACCGCCCTGCAGTTCTGGAGGAGCAGCCCAGACTCTCGGCCAAAAATGTGTCTGACATGTACAGTTTGTGGACTGTGTGTGTGTGTGTGTGTGTGCCGCATGACACTGGCGTAAAAGCATGCGTGGATAATGCTGAGTGTCCATTGCAGCAAGGGTAAGATGCCCCCTCAAACGCTGAAGTCAGAGCACTGCAGTCATGTAAAGAACAGTGGGCGTGTGCGGGTACACTGGGGGGAGAATCATGCAGTTACAGAACGTTTATGTGTCGAAGACGATGCAGAGGCGTCATCAAGATAACTCTTATTCAAACAATTCTATGGAAGTTGTATGTACGTGTATTGTATATTGTATGGAAGTGATAATTCCAGTAAAATCATTAGTTCAGTGTTGTTGATGTGATATGATGTCTATGTAGCAAAACACATCATCCCTTCTGTAGCATGTAGAAGTGTTGAGAAGCAGATTGTCAGAGAAAGTCTTTGAATCAAAAAGGGGAAACATTTTTATTGATGTTGAAATTGAGGATAATTGTGTTTTCTTCCCTATCTGTCACAGTATAATATTATGCAACAATTTAGTCTCTGCAACTCTATTGTCTCTCATCTCTTCTGTATTCCATTTGATTAACTTTTGTTAGATCAAACATTTCGAACACGGGAAATGCAATAATAACCAACACATAGGAGTCATTGCTCCATAGGGCGGGATGACCACTGCCCATAAAATTTAATAAATGTCCATAAATCCTCTGGATGTGTCATTATCATTATTTTTTTTAATCCATTCATTTATATTTTATTAGTATTGACTTATTAATGTATAATTGTTAAATTGTTTAGATGCATGGTATAGAATGCATTTTAAAATAGGCCAAGAATAAACAACAGCATTAGAGGCCTATATAGACACAACATTAAGTTCTTCAAAACTTGAATAAAAGGCTGCTGAAACTATAGCCAACATTTAAAGTAGAATAACAAATTGAAAGGGTAATGTTCTTGTCAGGTCGTGTTGCCGCAGCCTTATATAGATCGCATTCATCACATACAGAAAGCGAACACTGCGTGAGGCTTGGATACTATTGAGCTGTTGTATTTGGTTGGCGCTGCTGCTACAGTGGTAAAGCATTAAGTATTTATAACTGTAGACTTCTGTCAGGCACAGAGCAGTGAATCCTTGTGCCATTACTGAGGCAAGAGCGCCATCTGCTGTCCAAACACATACAAACAGATGATAAAGTGGTTTCAAAAAGCTGCAGCCAGTAGTTCAGACACATATAAGGCCTTTTTATTTGATCATCTCTGACATTACAGGACTTCTCTTTAAATTGACAACCCCCCCCATCTAAAAATCAAATTTCAAACCAAACAATGAATACATGCAGTCTTTATCTAATTAGAAAACATCTTTATGCACAAGCTGTGAGAGAGGCCATGATGGATTAGATGGATTTGATTATATTGTAAAACGTTTTGTCACTGTGTATGTGTGTGTGTGCATGTGTTTGCATGCACGTGTTGGCGTGTGTGTTGTGTCCCAGTGCATTTTGTATTATATTACTGTTGTGTAATTTTCTGAATTGCATAGATTTCTGAATTTCTTAATTCCATGGTCTTGTTTTGACTGAGTTAGATCGGGATTGGCATTAAATGGATTATGTAAACATTTGATTCATCCATACCCTTTGATTCATCCATACCCTTTTCAAAAACTTGTAAATGTATCGGAAGTATGTGAACATTGTGCAGGTTTGAAATTGCAAACAACACTTATGTACATTGGTCATCTGCCCCTTATGGACCAATACACATTTTTTTTCTGTTTTATTTCTAATGTTTGATCTGTTTGATTCTATGACCTGTGTTGGCAAATTCAACAGTTGTGTTAAATCCTCCAAAATAACTACTGTTGTGATTTAGGGCTATACATTAGATACATAAGAATACATTGAATTGAATTGAGCTGTTCCTAATCTCACCACAAGAGGGCAGTACACTTTGCGGTAACACAGAAAGTAAACAATGTAAAATAAATGAAGAAGAGTGAGTTTAGAGACATGGGGCTTCTGCATCTGTAGCACATAACTTTATAATCTTAACTGCAGTAAAACCATGGATCTATAAGAGTAAAACCCTGATGTTTTCTCACTTCTGACAGTATTCATGGGAAACACGCAGAGTCACGTGTTCGCCTCTCTCTCTCTGTGCTCTCTGTATTTACTTTACTCCAAGATTTATTGCTCGTATCGTGTGTTATCCACTAAAGAGCTTCATTACAACAGACAGCCGAGTTCTGCGTACCTCTTTCTCCGGTACGTGTCCCGCTGTTTGAGGGGCCCCCGCGGATCAGGGTCAGATGGAGCCCGGCTGGAGGTCACTCTGCACGGCTGCAGGTCAGTGACAGCACCATGAATACTCTGAGGTAGCTTTTGATTTTTATTCCAATCCACTATATTTATTTTGGATCTAAACAACTAATCGATTAATCAAAAGAATAATCTGCCAACTAATTGATTATCAAAATACTCGTCAGCTGTAGCTGGTTGTGAGACAAGCAGAGGTAGATGGACTTTCAATGGGAAACTGTGATTTATTAGATGTTTTGGTTTAGACTGAGTTTGTAAGGGTTTTTCCAGAAGTAAGAACCAATTCGGACTCTGAGGAGCACAGGGACTGGCCTCAGAACTCAACATGGGGAGGCAGCACTTCAGATTCATGCAGCTAAAATCTGGAACAATCTTCTTGAAAATGCGAGACAGGCCTGTTCTTTGACAATGTTTAAATCCAGGTTTTAAAAAAGTTCTGTGTAGCTGTACATAAAACTGGATTATATATTTATATATATATATATATATATATATATATATATGTATATATATCTCTTGTTTTGTACATCACTTTGAGTTTCTGTGTGTGTGAAGTGGTATACAAATAAACTTGCCTACATAGAGCCTTTCACAAACCAGAGTCACAACACTCTTTACAATTTGTTGTTTTTTGCCTCTCAATTCACACAGAAATTAGAGCGGGGTTGCCATACAGGAGGTGTCTGCCAGGCCTATTTCACATGTTTTTTAGCGGTAGGGTAAAAGAGAGCACACATAGGAAACTTTCGCAGACACAGGGAGAACATGCAAACTCCACGCAGAAAGGCCTGGAGGTGAAATCGAACCCAGTACTTTCTTGATGTGAAGCACAAGCGCTAACCACCGTGCCACACAAGTATATGTCTATTGAACTGATATGTTTTGACTGTTGCAGACTGGACCTGGACCTGCTGAGGAGGTTCTGCTCCGTGGGGGGGTACGGCTGGGACTATCCTGACAGTGAATACAGAGACATCCCCCTGTGCTTCCCAGAGGCCGTGTGCTTCAAACTACTGCTGACGCTGCTGACGGACCAGGACTTCAAGCTCAGCCCTGCAGGTTAATATAATGTTATCATCATCATTATTTTGTATCAAGAACAAGAAACAGTCTTGAAACAGACCGATAAAGTTCTATTCTATTCCACTGGTATTAGATTACAATGTTATAACAATTGTAGAGTAGATTCTCTTACTTACTTATATGACCAACTTCCCAATGTCCTGGAGTGCATGTTGCGGCTGTATTAGAATTACCTTCCAAAATGCTCGTATATCTTCTCTCCAGGTCTCGTCCGGGTGCGTCAGTCCATCCGGAGCCTGCAGCCCGTGGATGAGCTGAAGAAGGGTCTGTTCCAGGTGCGAGCTTCAGTGCTGGTCTACAGAGCTGTGAGTGGAGGAGAGGAGGTGGACATCGCTCTCTCTGCTTCGTCCAGAAACCAGAGTCCAGTGTGGGAGAGCGTCCTGACCCTGCTGTCCCAGACGGAGACACACAGACGCACGAAACCAGCGCCTCTGAGCAGAAGCAACGGTCTGTATTGTAATTAGTTATTACAAAATATATAAGTTAGAGTTACCAGGACTTTATGCTCACCAGCCCAGGAGTGTCTCGGATGTAATTATGATCTCTCAGTATAAGTAAGGCATATTTTGGGCATATATTCTTCTTTCTGTTTATTGTTTAGTTGTTTTGATTGAGTTGTGAAAAGTATGTGAATTTGTATTTACGTTGGATCAAAACGTTGGAGTGATACCCCTTGAGAACAGCTTCATAGAGATGATATTTTACAGAATATATGATTACAGCTCAAAGTTTTATTCTCTGTGTGATTTAAAACACTAAATTAGTTAACTACTATTTCAATAATTATCCATCCATCCATTTTCTTCCTCTTAATCCATTTCTGGGTCGGGGGGTGGCAGTCAGAGATGCACCCAGTACACATAGCACCAGCCCCTTACAGATCCTCCTGCAGGTGGTGAGTCCACAGGAGCCTAGATCTTTCAGTGGGGGCTTCGGGAAAAGTGGGGTTAAGTGTCTTGTCTGACACACTGGCTGACACAACAACAGCAGACATCAGTGGGAGTCGTGAAGTAGGTCTTACAGTGGGCTCGAACCCACAACCTTCAGGCCCAAAGGCCAATGCTCTACCAACTGAGTCACTGTCAGCCACTATTTCAATAATTCATTACATGCAATTAAACCCTACAGTGAGTAATTACAATCCAGGTTTTAGCACCGACCGTTTTAAAATGAGGTTTGCTGATGGAACACAACGCATAAAAAGTAATAATTAAGTCCATCTATACATGTGTCCTGTAAAGATGGACTTATTTGTGTCCTGTTCTGTTTGGTGCTAATAGAGACTGACGTGCAGGATAAGTGTTTGACCCACTTTGTTCCACCTCAGATGCACAGATGGATCTGCAGCAGGTGGATCTCACAGTGCCCAGATTCCCCACAATGCCTTGCTTCTCTCTCTGGCGGGCCGCCTCGGCTCTTTGTGGATTAAAGTCTCTGATGACGCCAAGACTTTGGATGCTGTCCGTGTGTTTGGCTGAAATTGAGAAGCGTCGAGGTGGGTGAAGAAACACAGTATTATTTATGATTTTATTAGAGACTGTGAAAGCAAAACTGTGTTTAAAAGAAATAGTGACTAAGATGGATAGAATGAGAAATTTAACGGTTAGGGAGAGAACAGGTGTTAGATGACCGGGCTGGTAGAGCAGATACGTGTGTGCTGAGATCGTATGGACACATGCAGAGAATGGATGAAGAGAGACGATGGAGAGAGTGATAAATAGTTGCATCGGTGGTAGTAGACCGAGAGGAAGGCCACGGTATGGATCATTTTTAAAGTGGAATACCGGAAACACTACACTGAAGTGGTAATATTGTAACGCACTAATTTGGAAAAACACGTTAATAGTCTAAAATGTCAGCATGTCCCATAGACTATAGGCTGCAGTTCTCAACATCACCTCTAGATGTCGTCAAAGTTCTGTTCAACAACAGCTTGAGACCAAATCGACTGTCTCTGCCTGAGATCGGCAAAATGAAAGATCTGAGGTGGATTTATAGAACAAAACGAAACCAAAAGTATATTTTAAGATTTGAAAAAACTGTTTTTAAATGTATAAAGAGGAGATCATGTTTAGGCAATACCGGTGCTATAAACTTGTAGCAGACATGGCCAGTGATCTACATCCACTTTAGTTACTTTTGGAAATTGAACCCTTTGATCTTTGGTCAAAGACAAACAAGAAAACAAAAAGAAACCATCAAACATACAAAGATCTTCTGTAAGAGATTTTAGGAGTAGACTGTTGGAGATAAAGCTCTTCTTGGGTAAATCTCTCTATACAACCTATTTCAAACCCAACCCTACTGCATAATACCATTGCCACAACTTCCAGTTCTAGATATTTACAAACTGAACTAAACTTCAATAATCTGTGCAACTTTTCAAGATATTCTGACATCGTTTGAATTTGTCTAAAAGATTTTTCCACAGTTTAACGGCACAGACCCAAACACCAAACCTCTTCCTTGTAGCTAATGTAAAGTTCTGAATACCCCCTTAACTTATGTTCTCCATAAGATTTTCTTTGTTTTAGTTTCAAAATAAAATTACTCTGACTAAAGTACACTGTGCAAGAGCTTTTATTACCAGCTGAGTGGATAGCACTCTCGCCTCTCAGCAAGAAGGTCCTGGGTTCGAATCCCGGTTGGACCAGGGCCTTTCTGAGTGGAGTTTGCATGTTCTCCCCATGTCTCCGTAGGTTTCCTCCGGGTACTCCGGTTTCCCCTACCACTAAAAACATGTACAATAGCTCTGGCGAGCCCGCTCCCAGGGGACAAATGCCCAAAAAAATAACAATTGTAAACCGCTTTGAGACTCTGACCTGCAGTGAAAAGGCGGTGAAATAAAGATTACTTACTACTTTTACCTCATGTCACTTTACTTATATACTTTTTATCCTGCACTATTTAACTGTACAGTATATAACTGCACTACTACATATATCTTTTGACTGGTATTAAAGAATTTTCAGCATCTACAGCTAGTTATGTTAGTTAAGAAACATAGCTACTACTTATTTGTATATATTGTGTGTGATCCCTGTGTGCTCTTACTACTGTCCTGTCTGTGCGCTGCAACATCGAAATTTCCCCACTGTGGGACGAATAAAGGAATTCTTATCTTATTCTTATCTTATCTTATGTTTTGTCCTATTATTGTGTCCACAGTCTGTATACTGATCATTTAGTGTCATAGTTTCCACTTTTGCATTTCTGCTCGTATTTTATATTTTTTGAAGGTACTGTCAACAAGTACATTTTCTGGCTGCTCCTTCCAGTTCTGTTTAGTAGTCATTCAGAACGCCTCTTATATTCTTCAATAGATAACATCGTTGAGTCAGATGGCACGATTATTATCCCGAAAATGTCCTTCAGACTGGTCTTGTTCTTGTGTTACAGGGAGTAGATCAGTCACCGCTCCGGCCAGCGTCACTGTACAGTTCACAGAAGAAACCACGATCCCAGGGACAGTCCAAGCCCAGTTTTGGGACTCGAAAGACACTGTAGATCAAGGGTCTATGAAAGTTTGCTTCAGTCTGATGAGCGCTGGAAGCAAGCGGGCTCTGATGGAAGGACGACTATCTTCTGTGAATGATTGACAGGAAACGGCTCTTTAACTTCATGTTTTAAGAATAAGTGTTACTTTGTGAGTCCAAAACGTGGGAATGAATGTGAAGTGTTGATGCAGGTTTTAATCATAATGGTGCAATCTTGTCCAGACGCCTGAAAGTCACTGTCATCACAATGAGACAACTTCATATACTAGTAATACAACTACTACTACTATTGTTTATATTATATTACTACTGTAGCCACGGCTGCCCTGGAGCACACCGACAGAAGCAAGGCATCAGCGCTTCAGACCACCTCCAACCCTTCACACACACACCACTCATTTTATACAATGTGGGTGAAGTGTCTTGCTAAAGGACAAACTGGCTCTGTTCCCAGAGTAACTAATAAGTTATTGTATTTACATCACGCTTAAAGACACTTGCATGAATCTACTTGTACATGGCTAATAAAACACTTTTCTTTAAACTAGAAGATAAATGAGGAAAAAGGATTTCAATCAAATATTTTTGCAAATAAACACTTCTGTGTAACTTTGGACTCACTGATTGCAGATGTTCTTCAGGCTCTGACCCAGTTTTATGAGGGAAAAGGTTCATTTACAGAGAAACAAGAGCACTCACAGATCATGGAACATGTTGAAATATATAAAACACATTATTGATTTAGTTCTTTATTTAAAAGCAAATCAAAAGTACATCTTTTTACCACATTCCCCAAACAAAATGGACAAATGTCCTAAAGCAAATGAAAAAAAACCACAGCTGAAACATAAGAATCTATTCGTCCAAACACATCTATTTACAAAACTGGAAAGAGTTTAAGGAATGAACAATAAATGCATAAAAATATATTATAAAACTTCATATGTAGCGTTTTTCACCACTATTTGTGATAAAAACATAATGGGATCTAAACACAATCATATCAGTTATTTATCTGGTTTAGTGAGAAGAAAACATTTAAAAGACTTGATACGACCTCAGCTCTAACTTTAAAACTGTTGCACATATTTGTAGAGGAGCGATTTTTAATATTTCTTCTTCAAACCAGCGACAGTAAAAAAGTCTCTTGAGCCGTTTGTCGATCATAAAACCTTTAGTAATTCCTCTGGACAAAAGCTTCTCTCTTTTCTCATCACTCAGAACACGTCACATCTGTCACTGTGGTCCAGGGGCCAGTGGTTGTTCAGCCTCCTCTGCTTCTGTTGAGACTGAGCCTGGAGAAAGACAATAGAGAAAGACAGTAATAATTAGGGCTGTCAAAATTATTGCGTTAACTCACGTTAATTATGTTTTTAATTATTGCGTTAAAAAAAACTTCACGCGTTTAACGCATTTCCAAATGACCTCAGAATGCCGTGGACACATGCGTGTGTGAGATGACAACAGAGCAGGTGGGCCCTCTGGGAATTCACGTTTATAAAGAATACGCGCGTGACCGCGGGGCACTTGCTGTTGTTTGCTGAATGAACTTAACTCTGCCTCCTCCGTGGCTGCAGCGTTCTGACACGGGGCAGCTGCGGCCGCTCTGGACAGAGGTTCCCACCTCCAGCGGCTGTGAGACGCTAACAACAACACGGCGAATGGCGCCGTGATAACGTGATCATATCCAAGACCATACACACACAGGACTATTGTCTGCATGTTGTGTGTGTGTCTTTGCGTAACCTGTGTGTAACCAGAGCGCGCAAATACTGAAGCTGAACTATGAGCCTCAGGAAGTGCCCGTGGCTCCTCCTGAAACGCAACTAACTTAAACTCGCTAAATTAAAGCAATGTGTCATTACATTTGATAATCTCATTTAACTTCAATTGGAGTGGATTTTAAATAGAATGTTAAAATGTGATTAATCGTGAGTTAACTCACCACTACTGTGCAATTAATCAACTAAAAGATTTAATTGTTTGACAGCCCTAGTAATAATACAATCCTCATGGAAAAGAAATGAAGTTTATATCCACAGAAAACAGTTTTTTTTTTAATGATTTCTGTCTGATCACTTATATTTACTAAATGTCACATAAATGAAAGTGGACATATTTCAGCTGAGCTTATTTTATTATTGTCTACAAAAATATTCATATTTTATCCGTATTTGCCTCTATGGCTTGTGTCAAGCTTCTCAGGTTCAGTCCATGTTTGTACAGGATACTTTTCTATCACTCAATGCTGATATATATTTTCTTACCTGGAACCAATTCTCTTTGAACCCCTGCTTCACTGGGAGCTGAAATATAGATGGATATTTATAATCATTAACATAAAGTTGATTAAGGCAATATAATATTTTACAACAAGCAGACGTTTGGTCCTTTAAGACACACACAGTAAAAGAGTGAACAGTAAAAGGAGTTACTTACGAGGCGTGATCTGCTTGGCTGAAAGAGAAACATGGACATTTTCTGTTACGTTTTCTAATTGTCTAATATGAACAACACATGGAATCAAATACATGCATAATAATATTACCTTTACACCATCTGTAGAGAGCAAATCCAACAACAGCAAAGAGAGCGAGAACAGAGACAGACACAGCAGCTGCAATAAGGCCTGTGTGCTTCTTTGCTGTTAAAACAAAACATTTAGGATATTAATGAAAAGAATAAACTACAAAACAAAACATTTACAAAAGGTTTAGTGAGCTGGATTCACTGATATTGACCCAAACTGTGACAGAAAACTGAAATGTTACGGTCGTGTCTTTCTCTGCTGAACTTTTGGACCAATGTGTTTTATATTATTGTAACATAGATTTTTGTATTTACTTATTTACATTTGGGTAATCTTAATATTATTTGAGTATATTAGTTCATGATTTTCTGTTATTGATTAATATTGTTTTATTAGTATTTGTTTCAACACTGTCAGCGAGAGAGAGAGAGGACAGAGAGCGCGCCCCCGTGTGCGCGTGAGACGGAGTGGAAAATAAACCGAAGAGCTGAACTTTTACTGTCCTGCCGTTTGGTTATTTTAGCAAGGAAAACTTCAAGATAGAACACTATTTTTTAATTATAAATTGTAACCCGCACACCCACAGCCTCAAGAATTGGTGAGCAACAAGAAAACAGGGTTACATTATCACAAATAGTTTCATCAGAAATTGATCTCTCTGCTGTTTGGTGTCACATTTATATCCTTTTATTCCAAAAATATTTAATGACAATTAGGGCTGCAACTAACGATTATTTTGATAATCAATTAATCAGGCGATTATTTTTACGACTAATCGATTAATCGGTTTATGTACTTATATTTTAGTTTTGCCAATTTTTTTCCAAGTAAATTGTTAACAAAGGGCCTTCATCATTCAACATAGACTTTTTAGAGATTTTAACCCTTTTACATATTCATATCCACATCAAAAACATATCTGGAGCTGTTTATTATGTCTTTGTAATCCTTTGTTGAACTCAATGTCGACCATCAAAACAAAACACTGACCGTTACATACTCTAGCAAATTTCACAAGGAGATTTCCAATAATGTTTTCACCATGAAAATCCTTAGGGCTTCTGAAGTAGTTTAAAATCCCGAACAAGGCTTATTTAAGTTGATAAACTGGATAAATGTTTTTTTTTTTTTTACATCTTTGTGCAAATTAGTTGAAAGATCAACTTTATGCCTAAAAGAGTGAGTGTGGCGCCATCTTTTGCAAACAGTCAGTACTGCAGAGAGATGGTTTAAAGTAGTACTAGAATTTAATATACTGCTATCCAGAATATATAACTACAATATGTGTTTATAATATTTCGGGTGTTCATTTTTTATATGTTCAGATGAATTATGTTAAAAAAACAGCTTTGAAGTCGGACCTTTTTACAAACGCTAGGGGGCGCCAAAATGGCGGCGATGACGTAGGAGAAGGACCTCTCACAGCAGCAGCAGCAGTCTGGGCTGAAACTGTAGGAGGTTTCACTGTCATCTGAACAAGGTATAAACATATTTTCATCCGTTTTGTACATAATAGTGTGCAACTCTTTTAACTTTTTAGCCTTATTTGTGAGATTCAAGCAAACTAGTGTTGGGCAAGTTAGCTAACTCTACTTGATATCATAAAACATGCTAACAAGGCTAATATTCGTTTTTACATTATGCCAGTCTCACTTTGGTTGCCTTAGATTTATTTACCACAAAGCACATTGTAATATCCATAAATGCTAATCAAAATAACTTGAATTAAATAAATATTTTACTTTTATGAACAAAAAGCTGCAGAAGTTGAAAACATAGACTACATGTGATGCAATCATTGATAAAAATGCTAATTAAACCGTTAATAGGTGTTAGCATTTATGGATATTACAATGTACATTGTGGTAAATAAATCTAAGGCAACCAAAGTGAGACTGGCATAATGTAAAAACGAATATTAGCCTTGTTAGCATGTTTTATGATATCAAGTAGAGTTAGCTAACTTGCCCAACACTAGTTTGCTTGAATCTCACAAATAAGGCTAAAAGGTCAAAAGAGTTGCACACTATTATGTACAAAACGGATGAAAATATGTTTATACCTTGTTCAGATGACAGTGAAACCTCCTACAGATTCAGCCCAGACTGCTGCTGCTGCTGCTGCTGTGAGAGGTCCTTCTCCTACGTCATCGCCGCCATTTTGGCTCCCCCTAGCGTTTCTATGCGGAAGTGAAAAGGTGCCACTTCAAAGCACTTTTTTTAACATAATTCATCTGAACATGTCAAAATGAACACCCGAAATATTATAAACACATATTGTAGTTATATATTCTGGATAGCAGCATATTCAATTCTAGTACTACTTTAAGGTGCTCACGCAGAGACGTAGTACTCCCGTGCCAGGCCAAGCCAGTAGCGCAGAGTTTACAGGTTACTCTTCTTTTTTGAAGGTTCAAAGTAAAGTGCTCCCACACTTTGGATGACTTCGTTCGATTAGGTTTGTCTTCTGATTTTTTCCTTTTCTTTCTCGAGCTCCACTGCCGCTTGCCTCCGCCATCTTGCTGTATGCTGAAGAGAAGCTGTGCGCGAAGCATGTGACATAAAAGGAGGCC